TAAAATTGTGAATATATAAAATCCCACAGAATCCGCTGAATTGGTTAAGAAAATCCGAACTAATTTTGCTATGAGAGATTTATTACTTAAATTAATGATCTTCAAGATTTTATAGTAATTATTAAAATTGTGAATATATAAAAGCCCACCGAATCCGCTAAATTGGTTAAGAAAATCCGAACTAATTTTGCTATGAGAGATTTATTACTTAAATTAATGATATTCAAAATTTTGTAGTAATAATTAAAATTGTGAATCTATAAAATCCCACAGAATCCGATGGATTGGTTAAGAAAATCCGAACTAATTTTGATATGAGAGATTTATTACTTAAATTTAATTTTAAAGCGTAGGGCCCATTGGTGTTACTTAAATTAGTAAGTCAAAACATTACTTTTCAAGTCAAACATACTATTTTTGTATTTTTCCAACAACCTCTTTATATTACTATAGATTTTTTAAACTTACAACATATAACAACATTAAACATAAATATATTAATTGGGAAATAATTTTTTTTTCTAATGAATTTTAATAAATATTATTAATTTTAGTTATTATAAAGATAAATATAATTTATTTATTTCATATATATACAATATAGATGTCAAATCGAAGATCATCAAAAGATGATTAATTTGATATATTATATATGTAAAACCGAAAAAAAATACAAAAGTTATCAACTTTTAAAATACATTTATAATTCAATAGCTAATTGAAGGAAACAAATCAAAAGTAGGGATATATTACTCACTTAGTGACTCAGTATGCAACTACAAAGGGTTATATTAGTGCAAGTGATATTAAAATACCTAAGTTAGCTAAATAATTTTTATGGAATGTCCAAACCTAAATTATTAATATATTAATATTATTTGTCCAAACCTAAGCATGATTCTTTGCCAGTAGGATTCCAAAGCAACAGAAGCAGCCACGTTCCAAAGCAACAGAAGCAGCCACGTAGACTCATCGCATTCGGGAGAATAATATATAGGGAGGATGTATTGTAAATATTTTAATTTTCTTTGTAATCTCATAATTCACAAGGTAGTACAATATTGCTTGATTTATCATTATAAGTTATAACAATATATATTATAAATAATTAAATATTTTAATACTTTTCTAAGCTGACAACTTATGTTCTACAGACGACTTATAGAAGGTGGATGTTAAAGTTGGCCTGAGAAAAGAGAATTCAATACTTTCCGGCGACATCCCCCAAATTTTTACCACTGAAAGACAATATCAACACGATGAAGCTCGCCGGACATGCGACAGCGTGGATCCCAATCGCCATTTCAATGTTAATTCTGATGGCTGCATCAGGTGGTACGTCAGCTCCAAGTCACCTACGGCTGCCGACGTCCGGCAACAATAATTATTTGACCACCGAAGAGCACTGGCTCGATCAAAGTCTCGATCACTTCTCTCCTTACGTACGCCCCTTTTCTTCAAACTCTTTCTCATTCGTTTGACTCATGATTCGTTGGTGCTTAATTTGGTTGTTTTTGAGCGTTGGAAATTGGGAATCGAACTTAATAGAATTTTATGCGGGATTATGTTGCTTTATTCTGGTTCAGCTGTATCGTGAATCGTAGCTGTTCTGGCTCTTGAGGCATGTGACCGAAGCCTTTAATTTTGGTTACACACACACATTTACATGTTTGGACTTTACTACCTTTCTTTGTGGAAAGTTTTTGTGTGTGTGGTTTGATTGGAGTGGGGATTGGAGAGTATGTAGCCTATGTTGAAGTTGGTTAGACACTGAGACTAAAAAGTTAAGTTTTTTTTCGACGTGATCCACACCAAATAGACCAGGTTCGATGTATGCTCCACCTGTAACTCGGTCTCTGTTAACCTGCAGGCTGCAATTCTCCGGGAGGTATTCCCGGCTTAGACACTCCGGTGCTATAGTTAAAAAGTATCTAACGAGAATATCAAGACTGGAGGTGATGAAAGTATAATTAGCCAATTAGGGTTTATATGTGAGCCATGCACATATTTATAAGATATAAATTACCTATTCCGAATAGATGTCCAGATAGAAACAAGTCCCGCCTATCCGGGGATCAGTTGTGATAAATGTGGCAAGAATAGATTAACCTCTCATCATGTCAACACAATATACCGACCTGATGTCCTGCCCAATTTCCGTGCTGGATTGATTAAATAATAGGTCGTCCAGCCTCTTTGTGATCCACAAGCTAACCGCACGAACTCTAGGACAGAGGTGACCTGTCCGACCTCAGGAATAGACATTTCAGACCTCTTACTGATAAAACAGCCTTCACGGTTCAGTCCACAAGCTAACCTTTGTTAGCGGCTCATTGGGCTGATATATGATGCAACATCATTTTGAATTTTTGTTTTAGCTATGGCAGAGCAACGGATTTGACCTGGCAGTGTAAGGTCAATGAACCATACAATGAAGGTTGATGTACTGTACGTATGTGATGCTAGGATGAGGTCTATCTGAATAACTTTTTGTGTGCTCTCAATGAGAGTCGGGTTATAGATGTGTATACTAAGAGTATCCAAAACTTGACTTACTCACATATCCATTAAAGATTAAAGCACGACTAAGTCTATGTCTGCATCACTTTGTGAGAATTCTTGTCCATGTTACAAATGTGTATTCAGCTCAATTGTATTTCTTTCTTTCTTTTTTTCTTCCCCATTTTCCCATTCATTTCTTTTTATTATTCGTTTTCCCAATTGCAGGATCACCGTCAATTCAAGCAACGCTACTATGAATATCTTGATCATTTCAGAGCCCCTGATGGGCCTATATTTCTTAAGATATGTGGAGAATCTACTTGCAATGGGATTGTCAATGACTATGTGGGCGTAAGTCTACTCCTAGACTGGGAGAGTTTGTTATAATATCTCCCAGCTATTTGTAACTTGATTGTAACGTGACAAAAGTTAGATGTAAAAACTTTGCACTTCAGAACAATATAAAACTGTTGACAGGATGAGTATGAAGTTTTACGTTCACATGCTAAATTTAATCAATTAGCTGAACTAACTTCAACTATGTGGCTATTTGGAAGTGACCTTCATGATCTTTTAGCAATAGAGTAACTTTTGTCTATCTGGTTGGTATCTATTCACCAGAGTCTCAGTAGAAGAATTCATGTTTAAGGGGGATTGAATAGTTCATTCAGGAGCAAGATACAGCATATAGTCACTCCCAAAGTAATTTGATTTCTTAACTATTTTTTCGATCTGTCAAAATGATTTCATATATTACCTTTCTTGGGGAATGCTAAAAGACTTCGCAAGCCTTGTACCTTAGTTGAAACATATTTACCTGTATCAAACTTAAAACTACTTCAGTTTCTTTATATCAAAGATGTTTTATTGCATACTGATCACTTCAAGTGTGCATATATTTCTAAATCATGGAAGTTAACAGGTTTTGGCAAAGAAATTTGGAGCAGCTGTGGTTTCTCCTGAGCATCGTTATTATGGAAAGAGTTCCCCCTTTCAGTCATTGACAACGAAGAATCTGAGATATCTTTCATCAAAACAAGCTCTCTTTGATTTAGCTGTTTTCAGACAGCATTATCAGGCAAGGACAGATAATTCTTTGTACTCTTTGACTGGAAGTGAGGTGTTATTTTTACTGCTAAAATTGGTAGCGCATTGGGACAGCTGTTAAGCAACTCTCATGGGAAACAATGTTTGAATTAAATTATTCTGTTAGAATAGTTAGAAAACAATGTTTCCACAGAGCTTTTATTTTCATCTTTTTTCATTTTAAAAACTCATTATCTGATCCCCTTTATCCATTCATATGATTTACTCAGGAATCCTTAAACACAAAGCTCAACAGATCAAATATTGATAATCCATGGTTTATCTTTGGTGTTTCATATGCCGGAGCCCTCAGCGCATGGTTTCGCCTGAAGTTTCCTCACCTTACTTGTGGAAGTCTTGCAAGTTCTGCAGTTGTCCTTGCTGTTTACGACTTCACAGAATTTGATAAGCAGGTTACTATAAACATTTTCCAGCTATCCATTTTTAACCTTCCGCAAAGTTATACTTCTAAATTTTTTACTTCACCACCTGCTATTGCCTTGCCATTGAGTTTCCACTTTCTTACTTTCTATAACTTCAGTATTGATTATCTAAGCATGTAGCTGTTAATATTCTTATGCAGATAGGTGAATCTGCAGGTCCCGAATGTAAAGCTGTGTTGCAAGAAATTACTCAACTTGTTGAACAGAAACTTGGATCTAATGAAAAAACACTAAAAAATTTATTTAGTGCTGCTGAGGTATACCATTTTTATTTTCTGTTTCCCATTTGTGTGAGGATATAACTTTGTCTAACTGGGATCACAGCCCGAAGTGTTATGATGATTTTCTTTGTTACAGCTGAAAAATGATGGCGATTTCCTGTATTTTTTGGCGGATGCTGCAGTTATAGCGGTATGTGATAAGTGATAACACAACTTTGTTCAATAGGATTTTTTTAGCTTCCAAAACGGTTAATGCATGTGTTGCTTCTTTTCAGTTTCAATATGGAAATCCGGATAAGCTTTGCATCCCTCTTGTTGAAGCAAAGAAAGCTGGGAACGATTTAGTAGTAAGCATTTTCAGTATAGTTACCTCTGTGGTCTCCCTGGTCGTGGGAAAGTTGTGTGTCATTGGTAACTTTGAAAATATATATGTTGCTACTTGGCTACTTGGTGCTTACCAAAATTATGCTTGTCATTCTTGTTTCTAACAAAATTACAATTTTTAGCTTCCGTTTTGTACGCACTCATGGTCATTTGAACTCAGTTAAACATCTATATTAGTACATCAGTAACCGCTGGCGCTTACAGAGCCAGACTCGAATTGCAAAAATCGTACTGGGTTTTACTCTATGTACCATAAAAGCACAACCGTAATATCTTTTAAAATTCCATTTTTGTTATTATTTTCGTAATTGTGTTTCGGAGAGGGGTTTATTTTTTCGGTTAATACAAACCTCAAGTGGATCTTGTAAATTGCAATAGTTATAGAGGCATGGGAACTATAGAAGTAACTGGATTCTTTCTAATTAGGTTTAACTTTATGGGTGGATTTTGTAATCATCCCTATTCCCTATTGTACATCATGTGCGCACACATATAAACTTGTTTCTGCACATTGACATATTTGCATCTGCATATATTTTTGCATGTGCTCCTATAAATGCATGTGAAATCATACATATAACATGACTGACTTGGACCAGAAATTTAAACACCCAACTAGGGTTTTTACTAGATCAGGCTCCGCCTTCTTATCTAGGATAATTATACATTTGTTCCTTCTAGTACTTACTAAGTCCTTTAGTGCACTCAGAAACTACTTTTGTCAGTTGAAGAAAAAAAAATACAAAATCCAGCCTGACCTGAGGAATTTTTAACAGTTTCCTGGTTTGTGCTTAACCATTTATCTATAAGATGTGCCTTTTACCTCATTTTATTGTAATACGTAGTTTCCGTCTGAAATGCTGACATTTTGGTATCCAGGAAGCATATGCCACGTATGTGAAGGAGTATTATATTAAAAGTTTCGGTGTTAGTGTTGACACATACAATCAAGAACATCTGAAGAATACTACATTAGCCAGTGGTACTTCTGATCGATTATGGTGGTTCCAAGTCTGTACAGAAGTTGCATATTTCCAAGTTGCACCTTCAAATGATAGTGTCCGCTCATCAAAAGTTGATACCAGGTTAGTCATATGCCATTTTTTTTTATTTTTTTTTTCTTGGATTACTGAAAATTTCTTTTTAGTGTCAAGTGTTTTGAATTCTTTTAGCTAATAGACAATGTGTGAATCAGTAAATGAGTCGAGTTTTCACTAATTTCAGTTATCATTTGGACCTCTGCAAGAATGTTTTTGGGGAAGGTATCTATCCTGATGTTACAGCGACTAATATATACTATGGAGGCACAAAAATTGCTGGTAAAGTCAGTTGACACTTATGTTCCCTTACCAGTTTGTGTAGCTCTGGTCCTATGAACCCATTGGTAATAAATAAAAAATACTTGTTGATGGATCAAAATGGCATTGCATGGATTAATGTGTTACTCCCTTTGTTTATTTCTATTAGTCGTGCTGGATTTTTTCACTCATATTAGGAAACTGTCTTTATGTTTCTATATTTTATAATATGTGTTTTATAATTTAGTTATTGATCAGATTGAATGAGGAATCATAACTTTCCAATCAAATGGTATTTGGAAAGAAATTAATTAAGTGACATTAATTCACTCATCAATCAAAAAATATGCATACAATTCTCTGGGTTTCCAAAAGTGACAAATGGACATTTTTTTTTTTTAGAAATGTGACAGATAGAACGAAAATGATAGAGCATAAGACTTATTCTTAACAATGATCCTAATGGATTTTTGTTACTTTCAACAATTCAAAACTAAATTAGTTGAAATTCACTTCATGTATACCAGCAATTTTTCTTTTTCTTTTTTTTTTTCCTGCGATGCTTGAATCTTTTCTCAAGTTAAGTTAATATTACAGTCTAACGAGTGGAAGTTGACAGTAACGGAGAAGAAAGTAGAGACCGTTATATACCCTCTTAGCTTAATAGCTTGTTTGTTTTTTTCTTTTTCTACTACATACTTTTGCATTTCAGGGATCATCACGGACTTGTAGCTGATTAGAGACTTTTTTTTTTTCAATGGACATTGACAGGTTCAAAAATAATCTTCACTAATGGATCACAGGACCCTTGGCGACGTGCATCCAAACAGACGTCTGCACCCGAGAGTGAGTCTGGATATTGCATTTATGATAGTTTTGCTCGTTACCTTTTTTCCCACTTTGACTTTCGTGGGAGATAGAGACTATATATAATATATAGTAAGTTCTTGACAGCATATTTTTGTTCCAATCATCAGCATGCTTCATCACCTGTTACTCTATTGATTTTCAATATTGTCCTTAACTTCACCTTCTTTTCGTCCTTTTAACGTGAATTAATTCTATTACCTTTCGTTTTTTTTATTCGGAATGCAATGTTTTCACTTGTTCTACTTTTCTTTTTGTTTCCTGTTCTTGGAAAACAAAGAAGAAACAATGTTGTTTAACGTCTGCTTTGTCGATGGATTTTTCGTTGTTTAATGACACATTGTTTCTTTGAATTTCAGTGCCTTCATACATCATGACATGTCATAACTGTGGCCATGGAGCTGATATTCGTGGTTGCCCCCAGTCTCCTTTGGCTCCAGAAGGTACATTTGACTTTTTTACTCACAAATAACCTCATTATTTACACAATCAATACATTCTTGAGTTAGCCATTTAGGATTTTTTTTTTTTTTTTTTTTTTT